CACCTCTGGTGGCTCCTGTAGCCCGAAAGCTTTCTTTTCTTCAGGTCAAGAAGAAGGACTCCTGAAGCCGGCCCTAGAGTCAGATCTTCTAACCTTCTTCATGGCCAACAGGCTGCCGCATTCCCCATCCCAGCTAGAGCTCTGAGGAGTGGTCCTTCCACCCCACTCACCCCGTACCCACCTCCTGCAGGCACACCTGAAAGCTCATCACCAGGACCCCTCCCCAGGGGTCCCTAGTGAGCCCCAACCCCAATGGACCAAACTATAAACCTGGCCTGCTTGATTCTGCCTGTGAGTGTCTCATTTCTTCTCTTCCCTCCCTGAACCCCTGTCATTGCCTGTGTACCAGGAGAGGTTGTGAGGTGTTCAAGAGAGGGGCACCGGCCCTGACTGACACCACTCTTCCTGCCTATGAAGTTAATAAAGTGTGAAAGGTGGGAATGGGAGCCGAAGGGGGGCTGCTCCGGGAAAGTGGACAAGGGGGATGTCAGGTAGGAGGTTCTGTCCCACCTGACACAGAGGTGCTCTGAGGGACAGCCCACACAGGAGAGTCCCTGCAGACCTAGCATGCCCCCCCAGGTGAACGAGCTTGGTCTCCTGTGGCCCACCCCCTTTCTGCAGCTCTGTCACCGAGCACGCCCTGGCACAGCTGTGCCCCCATGACCCAGCATGTCCCCAGGTGATTGACCTGGGTCTCCTGTGGCCCACCCCCTTTCTGCAGCTCTGTCACTGAGCACCCCTGTCTCCCAGTATCCCAGGCAGGTTTCCCAGAGAGGGACACTGCAGTGACTTAGAAGTTATTCTCAAGGACAGCTGTGTCCCAGTGTTGGTTACACACTGGTTGATGCCTCTCTCCCCAGTGAACTTGATGCTGCAAAACAGCCCCCTGACTGCTCCTGGAGTGGCAGAAAATGAGGCTCCCTCCCGTCAGATCAGCCCTGTTTCTTAGCCCTCCATTGCCTGACTGTCCTCCGGAGGACACAGGACCCCCGGGCTGACCACCTCTGCACCCCCACTTTGCCTCTCCCCCTGAACCACCTGCTTTCAGGCCCTGTAAACAACTGCTCCTCCCGGAAGGATGGTACATCTTTGTGGGGACACCTCAGGCGCCCTCCTTCCAAGGAGCCACCCCTGCCTCCTCCTGTCCCTTCCGCTAAGGCTGGACCACATGCTCCTTTGTTTTGCTGTCACAACGCCCTGTGCTTGCCCCCTTCAGTGCCCTCATCACAAGTACTGACATGATCTCTTCACCTGCCTGACCCCCGCACACCAGTGTGGACTCCTTGATAGCAGGGAGGTCGATCATAGAGTCCTGGGAGATGGCGTAGTGCCCTGGGTCAGCGTGGAAGCTCAATAAATTACTTTTGAATAAATAAATGAATGAGTGAGTGAACCAAGGCGAAGCCCTAGAGAGCAATCACCCCACAAGGTCTCCCCTAAGTAGTCCCCCTTCCCTTCCACTTGTAGGACCCCACCAGTGAGTCCTCAGTGCTGCAGGGTATGCATGCATTTTATCTACTCTCAAACATGCACGCACACACCTGTTATCACAATATATTACCATTGACCTTCAAGAAGACAAAGATATCCACGTCACAGTCCCCAGAAAATTTACTGTTCATAGGGGAGAAGGCATGGACAGAAACACCCAAGTCCAAGGCTGCTGTCTTCATAGGATGTCAGGGTT